ATTTACATTGAGCTCTCTGGATTTTATCCTCCTTGGGTTTACCCATACGGATTACCTAGTTTTTCATAAACTATATATATATATATAACCACTTTCATATAATCACAAAGAGAAACTTTTCCACCTGCCATCAGCATTGCTGATACTAGACTCCATTAAAGGAACACTCAACGTCTTCTTGGTCTCATGTTTGCCACTGACATGATGTGGAGCGACTACGTCGAATCAATAGCCACATCTACTGCAACTAAAGTTGATTCACTGTGTCTTGCCAGAAAATATTTTCTCCTCAGAATCCATCTCAGAATCCACATTTATAAATCTATTATTCGTCTATGCATTGATTACCGGTGATTATTCTGCACATCTCGAAATTCTTGACAAAATCCAAAGAAGGATCTGTAATATAATCGATCCTGACCACGCATCTCGTCTCCAGTCACTTTCTCACCGACTTGACCGGTCTTCCCTCTGTCTTTTCTAGAAATATTTTCATGGAAACTGTTCTGTCGAGCTTTCTACCCTACTGTCCCGACTATATGAATTTAAGCGTGCTACTCGATTCGCAACTAGATCTCACCGTTTTACTTTTAATCTCGCTAGATACAACAGCCACTTCTAAACTTTCTTTTCTCGCATATCACGCCCATAGGACTTGCGTCCAATTTCTTGCTTCCCAGATAACTGATAATATCCAAAAATTTAAATGCAACGTCAATCGCCATCTTCTGTCTTCCTGAACCCTGTTCCTTGTTTTGCCCTTTTCTCAATTCTCCCCTTCTCATTGTCTTTCATTTTCACTCTCTGTAAGCCCCACTGCGTTTTTGTGCCATTATACCCTTGTTTAGTTTGAAACGATGTATATATATATATATATATATATATATATATATATATATATATAGAGAGAGAGAGAGAGAGAGAGAGAGAGATACGCACAATCACATAAATAAACATAGACACACCTCTAAATACATAAATGCATATACAGTACTGTTCGATAAAAGTGACTCACCTGATTTTTTTACTTAAAAAATTTTTCGCCTATTGTTTTTGGGGTCAAACTAATTTTTAATTTTACTAATATAAAGGCCCCTTCCCGACCACCTAGTAAAAAATTTTACTCACCCTAAGGTATTCTATTGATAATCATAATTTTGGATATAAATGAGATTTAGGGGAAAAAAACTCTGTGCAAAAAAAGTGTTCACTTATTTCCTGCAACTAGTAATCAATAGAAACATAACCAAACAGCTTTAAATAAAGAATATTTAATAATCTATGGGTCCTCCTTTATTTTGAATAACCTTTTCAACCCTTTTTGGCATTGACTTGATTAGGTTCTGGCAAATCCCATCTCTTCGGATATGAAATTCACAATCAAATCCTCTTTGTTGCTCAACTGCTTTCTCGAGAGTCTGTACTTTATAATGCTCCGTAAGTTTTCTATGGGGATGAGGTCAGGAGATTGGGATGGCCGTGTCATAACACTTACCTGCTTTTCATCAAAGTATTCCTTCATCAATTTTGATTTGTGATAGGGAGCATTATCCTGCATAAAAATGAGCTTGGTGGGGTCGATTTGCACCCTTTCAGCAGAAGGGAGCAGACAAGACTCTAAAATTCTCTTGTACTGTTTTAAGAAACCAGTTCCATGAAAAGAAAAGCATCCCCAGAACATTATACTGAACGGATGCTTGACAGTACTTACTGCTAAATTCAAAGAGCTTTCAAAGCTTCTTCGGATTTTAGATTGCTTATCCTTTGAATTTAGCTCAAGTTTCGTTTCATCGGAGAAGAGAACATTCTTTCAGTCTTCTACGATGAGATTCTTGTAATAGTGAGCCCATTCAAGTCTCTTGGCTTTGTTGACTTTGCTTATTAGCGGCTTAAACCTTCGTGTACAAGATTTGTAGCCTTGTTCTAACAGCCACCAACGGACTGTTGAAGAGGCAAGACAAACACCTTGCTCTTCGCTTAGACTGGCTGCAATTTCTTGGCTAGTTATAGTCCTGTTCTTCGCAACTTTTCTCTTGATTACCCTGCCAGTTCTATCATCAATCTTTTTCTTTCGTCCCCTTGTTTCCTTCCTTGGAGCAGGAGTGGCATCATTATGTGCCCTAAGCACTTGAAAGACAGTTGATTGAGAGGTTATAGCAATTTCTGCAATTTCTCTCGTAGACTTGCCTGCTTTTGAGAGGACAATAATAGATGACTTAAGTGTTTCTGAGTGGCTATTTCAAGATGTTTTTATACTGTATGAGACTTTCTGGAATATTCTGGAATACTCTAGATTTAACTTAAGCTGTTCTAGATTTCTCTAGAATATTGTCCTGAGTGTATTGTAAAATAGTTTTCAATATTTTGTCAAAAGCTCTTTAAATTTACCAGTTTAATCATTAGAATGCGATATCAAAGTCACAGTTTTTTCCTGAATCTCATTTATATCCAAATTTATAATTATCAATAGAATACCTTAGGGTGAATAAACTTTTTTCCT